AAAAGAGATAGAAGGAAGATTTTTCCCTGTCATAATTTCATATATTAAAAGGGGCATGGTCTGATCCAGCAATTCCACTTCTGAGTATTTACCTAAAGAAAATGAAAACACTAACTTGAGAAGAGATATGCACTTCCATGTTTATTACAGCATTATTTTAAAAAGCCAAGATATAGAAACAGCCTAAGTGTCCATCAATGGATGAATGAGTAAGGAAAATGTGGTGTATATATATTCAATGGAATATTATTCAGCCATGAAAAAGAAGGAAATCTTGCCATTTGCAACAACATAGATGGAGCTTGAGGGTGATATGCTAAGTGAAATAAGTCAGAGAAAGACAAATACTGTATTATCTCACTTATATGTGGAATCTAAAAACAAAAAAAATGCAAACAAAAAAATTTTTTAAATGAGCTCATAGATACAGAGAACACATTGGTAGTTGCCAGAGGTGGGATGTGGGGGGTGGGTGAAATGGGTGAAGGGGGGATCAGAAGGTACAAACTTCTAGTTATAAAATAAAACGTCATGGGGCTGTAATGTACAGTATGGTGACTATAGTTATTAATACTGTATTGCATATTTGAAAGTCGCCAGGAGAGTAGATCTTAAGAGTTCTCATCACAAGAAAAACATTTCGTAATTATGTATGGTGACGGATGTTAACACCTCCCTGTGATGACTGTTTCACAATATATACAAACATTTAGTCATTATATTGTACACCTGAAACTAATATAATGTTATATGTCAATTATATGTCAATTTTAAAAGGGGGGATGGGCTAACTACAGAAGTCCCCATCCAACGCATTTTAAGATCTGTTCTGCTTCAGAGAGAATCAAACTCCCAAGAATTCTCTCCTGAATTTCTTCCACTGAACTAAAGCCCTAAAGCCCTCGAGGCCTCCTGACACACCAGTCCTCACCTCTCAGTGAGGCAGGCTCCTATGGAGAAATCTCAGAACCATTTAGGTCAGGGAAGAAGATCTCAGCATCTGCCAACACGGCTTTAGACTCATTCATTTTCTGACACGAAAAAGGTCATAATTTTTATGGAGAGGAGAAATACATTGAACTAGTATGCTATCTCTATGCCCCTCATTCTCACTGGTACTTGGCCTTCTCCATTTTCTCAAATATTTTATATCAAGTAACTTAAAACATAGCATACACTGTTAAAGCTTTCTGATGCTAGGGGATTTTATACTTAAGCCTTACTGGACCAAATCAACACAAGTCATTTGAATACTTGTGGGAAAATACAGTGAAAATTCTGTTAGGTGGTAACAATCTTGGGGACAATTTTTGTTAATTCATCCCCAAAGAATGAGCCCTCTTTGGAATCCTAGTAGTAAAGGCAAAGACAAACTTGCCATTTGATAGAAGACAGTGTCCTAGAAAGGCTTCTTTTTTTTATTTTTGTAGAATTGTTATTATGTTTTAGACTTTAAGTGGACATATTTGACTCCCACTCTAATGCATACCCATATCCTACATAATAAAAATTATGTTTTAATAGGATTATATGGTATGTAAAACATATCATGTGTTTAGAGATGAAATATCCAGGGAAAATATTTCCATTGCTTACTATTTCTTGTCATTTCATGTGTCCTATCTGATATGTATACACATTTGGTTATCTAACACTGTATTGTATTTATTACTTCAACTTGCATATGCTTTTATTTAGATTTCCAAACACATAATTTTTAATGTATTTTATTAGTGAGGGAGCAATAAAGGAACAATTTTGCAGCTAATTTAACACCTATAAACTTTCTTGTTTGTGATTTAAAAGAAATAGCCTCAGCAGACCAGGTCTGTTCATATTTCAAAGAATATTAAATGCAAATACTTCTAAACAGCCCTATATTTAAAATTCTCTTATTTCATAAAATATTTATGGGTTCATTATTTATACTTGTATAAAAAAATGGTGCCTGATTCTGAACAGATTTATTATGTGAAAGTGTTTATTGTTTTTTAAATAGCTATATCTGAGAAGCCATACAAAGGCTAGATAATTACAAAGCAAGAATTACAATTAACCTGAAAAATAAATGTCAAAAAGATATTGACCAACTTATTTGAAAACTTGTGTCCACACAAAACTGCACACAAGTGATTATAGCACCTTTATTCATAATTGCAAAAATTATAAGCAACCAAGATGTCCTTTAAGAGGTGAAAGGATAAACACATGTAGTATATATATATATAATGGAATATTACTCAGTGATAAAAATAAACTATCAAGCCATGAAAATATGTGGATGACTCTTAAATGCATATTGCTAGGTGAAAGAAGCCAGACTGTAAGGGACACATACTATGTGATTCTAATTATACGATAGTCTGGAAAAGGTAAAACTATAGAGATGGTAAAAAGATCAATGGTTCTCAGGAGTCCCGGGAGAAAAGGCTGAATAGGTGAAGAACAGGAGATATTTTAGGGTGGTGAGACTATTCTGTATCACAATGTAATGGGGGTGATACATGACACTATGCGTTTGTCAAAACCCAGAGACCTTTACAGCACAAAGACTGAACCTCTATGCATGCAAATTAAAATAAAAAAATACTTAAGAGGCCAGCCCCATGGCCAAGTGGCTAAAGTTCCATACACTCTACTTTGGCGGCTGGGTTCACAAGTTTGGGTCCTTGGCACAGACCTACTCCACTCATCAGCCATGCTGTGGAGGCATCCCACATAGGAAGTAGGGGAAGATTGGTGCAGATGTTAGCTCAGCGCGAATCTTCCTCACGAAAAAAAAATGTATACTTAAGAGGTTGAGGTGTTGCAGGATGAAATACAGATTGTGACAAAACAATCTAACTGTATTATAAATACATGAAACAACCTCACTCAAGGTGTGGTGGAGGGAAAAGTCCTGACTTAAGTAACTTTGGAAATGGAGTCTATAAAACTGAAAGCAAAAACACTATACATAAGCACTGTACCCTAGTTGACAAAATTACTTATTGTAGGATATGGGTTTACAGTTCTGATACTGCTATACACATATATGGAATTGAACAAGTAAATAAATGGCAGCTTCAGGGGGACAAGCTGCTCACTGTTGGAGTGGGAGGTTACAGATAAGCAAGGGGCGGAGGCTCGAACATATCACGTAGCAATGGATTAAAGTTGGAGACATTAGTACAAACTCATGTTTAGTGTGATATAGATACAAATGGTTACATATAGAAATATTTATAGATATATTTATATATACAGATTAGTATATACTTATGCATTTCCTTGCTCTGTCAGCTGAGAGGGCCTAGAAGCTATGACACATCAGTAGCAATCAGCCCACCTAGTGCCTGGATCTTGGTTTCTAGTTTATTCTCCAGTTAAAGAAACCAGGGCTCCTTGGAGCAATGGTTGATTCTAGGCCTGGGACAGGAAATATACAAGATGAGCCTGGAGCATCTTGTAGTGCCAGACAGTAAGGAAGTGTTGGGAAAAAACTCCAAACACCTGATGAGGGTAGATCAAAACAACACAGGGGACAACTGGAAAAGCTCCCAATGGCCAAAGCTGGAAGAATTTGAGCAACAAAAAACGTTCTAAGTCATATTGGATTGTAATCCAAAGTATAAAATAAATATCCATGAGTTCATACTGACATGAGTAAATAAATGAGGGAGAATAGGCAAATCTCACAGAATTCCAAAAAATGTACATAGATACTCTGCCCTTTAGGAGGTGGAGCATAACTCCCCACTCCTTAAATGTGGGCTGCACATAGTGACTTCCTTCCAGAGAGTTACAGTAGTGGAAAGGAGGAGAAGAAGAGTAACTTTACAGTGGAGAAACCTGACAAACACTACCTCAGCCAGGTGACGACGGTTAATATTATCAGTGATAAGTCACACTCAGCCTGTACCCGTGATATGATGTGATGAAAATGGTACTTTAACTCTGTAGTCTTCTCAAAAACACATAACTCAAGTTTAATCATAAACATTAGTCAAATCTCAGTTGAGGGACATTCTACAAAATACCTAACCAGTACTCCTCAAAACTTGTCAAGGTCATCAAAAACAGTGAAAGTCTAAGAACTTGTCACAGCCAAGAGAAGCCTAAGGTGACACGACAACTAAACGTAATGTGGTGTTCTGGAGGGGATCCTGGAACAGAAAAAGAACATTAGGAAAAAACTAAGGTAAAATGAATAAAGTATGAACTTTATTTGATAATAATGTATCGATATTGATTTATTAATTGTACCACACTAATGTAAGGTGTTGAATAATAGAGGAAACTGGGTGTAGGGTATATAGGAAGTCTCTGTACTAAGTTAGCAATTTTTTCTATAAATCTAAAACTATTCTAAAATAAAAAATTTATTTAAAAGGGATATTGAGAATCATATACTCAGAGAAAGTGGGAAATGAAAGGGACAATAAAAATCATCAATTAAACCCCTTATTTTACAAGGGATAAAACTGAGGAATTATAGTAAGATTTAGCAGTCTAGCCTGGCAAGTAGCCTGAACTTTGGAGAGGGGCTTGAGAAAACAACTGCCGAACTTCGTCCTCAGTGACACTACAGCATCAATCATAGTACACAGTAGATACTCGATAAATAATTATTGAATGGTGATTAATTCCCAAGAACCTACTCTCTACCCATGTATTTCATCCATTCACTCATTTACTCATTAACTCATTCACTCATTTAACAAATATTTACTGAGTGTCTGGCACTACAATTTTACTCCTAGAATTAGAATCATTTAGAAACTCTATCCAGGGGCCAGGCCCGTGGTGTAGTGGTTAAGTTTGACACACTCTGCCTTGGCTGCCCAGGTTTGTGGGTTCAGATCCTGGGCACAGTCCTACACCACTTGTCAGCCATGCTGCGGCAGTGACCCACATACAAAATAGAGGAAGACTGGCACAGATGTTAGCTCAGGGCCAATATTCCTCAAGCAAAAGAAGAGGAGGATTGGCAACATATGTTAGCTCAGGGGGAATCTTCCTCAGCCAAAAAGGAGAGTAAAAATAGATAGATAGATAGATAGATAGATAAAAGAAAAAGAAACTCTATCCAAAGGACTGACATTTTGGCAGTTTTCCATATGTGACTTTGTAGGAGACTCTATTTAGCTAATTTAAATTTACATGCCCAAGGAAGAATTTTTCAAGCCGAGTATTAACAATTAAAATAGATTGAGGAGGCACATTAAGAGAGTGATTGCTCTCCGAGTCACAGAGAGTATGTACGGTTCATTTACACTCAAATTATGGGCTACGAACATTTTGAATAGTATTGTTATTTTGGATTCTCCAATCCTTCATTCTACTCCTTTTACTATTTATTCAGGTAATCGGCTAAGAGCACAGTTTTGTCTTGCTTTCCAGTTTCCCCTCTACTACTTACCAGCTGTGTGATCTTGGCCAAGTTGCCTAATCTTTTTGAGCCTCAGTTCCCCCATCTGAAAAATTACCTCATAAAAGAGTGTTGCTTGGATTAAATGAGCCAACATTTCTAAAGTGTTTAGCACACTTGGCAATGTCATTATTATTACTTGTATCATTGCTATTACTGTTATCATTACAAACCAATCAGATGCTTTTTCCTGTGAAACAACCTTGGGAAACTAAGGGCAATACCTCAGGATCTACAAAAGAACACACACAGGCACACTTAATCTCTTGATCTTTCTAGGTTAGATAAGTGGGTTGTTTCCAATAAACCACAAAATTATTGTTGGGATCTGGGCCACGATTCTATTTGCTGTCAGTCCAATGCCTCTTTTAGACTGCCAGGAAACTAATGTGGTTAGTTTCAAGTTCCTTCTTGTCCAATTTTTTCTGACAAAGTTTATTTTCATGTTAACATTATCATTTAATCTAAATATTCCATGGGCTCCTAAAACTAGATAATTTCCCTTGACATGCTTCTCTCCTGATGTTCATTTTTCTGACTTTATTTCTGTCATATTTAAAGATCATGTTATTCAGGGTACTTACAACCTCTATGTATAAATGCTGTGAAAAAGTCCAGCACTGCCCATGGGTGCCTTACTCTCTATGCCGAGGCAAAAGAGGTCTTGCATTTGCCATTCTGACTAAAAGTTTCTGAGCAAGAAGACTGCCTCTACGATCCCCATCATAGCCATGGCTGCCTGTCTGGGAATCCTAGGAGTTCCCAAGTGCACCATACCTTTGGAACTGCATTCCAGGACGAATGCCTCTCAGACGCAGTTCTCTCCCTGTAGTTGTAGCAGCATCTGCTCAACAGCTTACACAATAGCTCCTTGATAATTCTGCTGTCTCCTCAAGGGCCTCACTGGAGACTCCACAGTAGAGTCTGCTTTCATAAGTTTCACTTCAGTGGCAGAAAGCTAAGTTTCAGTAATAGAGTTATCTTGTTCAACCCAATTGCAAAAACTATTCTAAACACAAATGTTCCAAGTTCGGAGGAAATCTTAAGGGATACTTTAAATAGTTTTAATGAAAAAGAATACTCTTTTACTGAGTTCAAAAATAATTAAGTTAATAAAACAGGTTAATTGTTTCTTTTTAACTGATGAAAGATTTTAAAGGAATTTTAAAAGGTAATTTTGTCTGTAGCTCATTACTATGATTTCAGCAAACATGCTGTGACTTAGTTTTCAGTTAGCATAATTATTTTGCAACTCTTTTTGCCAAGGATACTCACACAAAACAGTCCTACCTCTCTCCTGGGAGGGACCTGTGAAGTTTGAAACCAGCTCCTCTTCTCCCCACACAACCACCCTCAGTGACTCCAGAAGGATTGAAGCCTGAGGGAAATGAGAGAAAGGGGTCAATTATGGAACAGAGGAGCAGCAGATTCTAAATCAGGGCATACGCCTGAGCTCCCAGGTGGAAATCAAAGGAGGAGCTTACATGTGTTCCCATTTTTTTTTCCACAGGCTTAAGATGTCCAATGTCTAAAATTATTTATATCTAAGACATCTCATGAGACCATCTGACTAGAAGGATTTTGTTGTTGTTATTGTTTGTTCATTTGTTTGTTAAGAAATACTAATCAGCTCTCTTTTTAAATTTAATACCAATACTTTTAACATAATTGCTTGTTTATCAAATTTTCTCTACTCATAAATTGTCTCTGTCCCTAATTCGTGGGGATTTTCTATTTGTAACAAACTTGATTAGACATAAGAGTGATAACATACACCTATATAAATAACACACACATACACACATATATATAGTAAGTATCACATAAATATAGCAGGACGTATTTTCCAGAAATCTGGACAGTATATTTGAATGGCCTTACTTACCACATATAAAAGTTTTACTTTGGGAGGCTCCAGAAGCCGCCTCAAAGAGACAGATGGTCTCTGGAGCAATATAAACCACGGTTCCACAAGAGGTCTGAGTATCAGGCCATCAGGAGAGAAAACAAAGCAAAGCAAAACGCCGTAAGTCTCCATATACAAGAAAACAAATAGCGGTTTCAGATTTGAGCCCCAAATCAAAAATTACAAGGGCAGCCTCTCCAGTGGCAGGCTTTGGTTTGCAATTCAACTGCTTCTCAAATGGGCAACTCTGTGTAATGGACATCAGGGTGAATAGCAGCAGACATTTTTAAATTAAACAATGTTCAATAATTCTCCCTAGAAATGATGAGCACTCCAGCTAGTAACAAGTAAATATTTGAGATAAAATAATGACAAGGAAGCCAAGATTCTAATGTGCTTTTTAAGGGAAATCTTTCCTGAGTGACTAGGAACACGATCCAGAGGCATTAGACAGTTACCAAAGAGTGGCCGTGCACCACTTGAAGCAGGCATGCAAGAAACATAATTCCAGGCATATTGTATAGATTTGAATATTGCTGAGTATAAAAATGAATCAACTATTTTGAACACCTATGGTTTCCATACAAGGAAACAAAATGAGGAATGCAATAAATGAAATAAAAAAGAATTAGACATACAGGGAAGTAAGAGTTGAAAAAAGAGGAAAAGAGAATTCATCTACAGAAAAACCAATTTGTGTTGGCACCATACTTCTGGTCTAGATGGACATGGGGTAAATAAGATGGTTAGATCTTGAGATGGAGTGAAGGCTGAAGAGTTCCCTTTTTCCTTTTTATGCTGACATATTTCTACACATTTAAGTCATATAAATAAATTTATCCTATCTGTGGGATAATCTTTATTTAGTAAGAATCACAGGAAACTTATTTTTAAATATGTAAAGGAAGTGTGCAGTCAATTGCATACATGCCTCTCATTTCTTTTCTTGAATCCCATGCCACTTGCTCCAACTTCAATAAAATGGAGATCAGAGATTCCACCTCTCTTGGGGCTAGAAACGCCTTCTGATTTTGTTAGTCTTCACTTTGCTCTACATATCTCCATATTGGGGTACACATGTATGGCTTCCCTAAAATGGCTGTCACCAGGGCCCTTCCGCTTACCTCCATTCTTCTTGAAATGCTCTTCCTTTGACTTCCATGACTTTTCCTAATTTTTCCACTACATCTTGTTCTCCACAAATCTCTTAAATGCCAGTGGTCCCTAAGATTCTGATCTTAGCCCTATTCTCTTTTCTACAACCATCCTGAGAGGCACAATGATAAGAGCATAGACTCTACAACCACGCTGCCAGGGTCTTGCCACTTTCTGGCTGTCTGTGTGTGACATCTTGGGCAGGTTACCTGACATCTCTGATGTTTCCTCTTTTATAAAATTGGACTGATAATAGTATCTACTTCATAGAGTCATAAGGTGGAGTAAATGAGTTCAGACATGTGAAGTGCCCAGCACACAGAAAGTGCTCAGTAACTTTTATGTGGTATAGCCATGGGTTCATTGATCATTTAGTAAAATAACTCAATTAGTTATTTAGTTGTTAGTTGATAAACTCTAATTCTCTAGCCCATACTTCTTTCTGAGTTCTAAGGCCATTTAACCAACTGCCTACAAACATTTTCAATTACATCTAGGGCTCCTTAAATTCAACATTCACAGACTAACTCATTTCTATCTCCCTACTCCTGCTCCAGCCAAAACTGCTCTTTTTTTGGTATTCTTTTTCTGAAATGAATAACAGCATCATCCGTCCAAGGGTCCAAGCCTTTGAAAGTTAATACTCTCCACCCCTTCTCTCAACTACCTCAACTAAAAACCTAATTGGTCACCAAATCTTTTTAGTTTTGCCTCCTAACTATCTTCTCTTCTGGATTACAGCAAGCGTCCTTCTCCTTCTCCCTGTTTCTAGTCTCTTTCCTCCCACATCATCCTTCTTTCACACTGCAGTCAGGGAGGTTCATCCTTTTTAATATTTTTCATCATCTTTCCATTTACCTTGAGGATAAAATCCAAAATTTTCAGCATAGCATATGAGGTACTTCATCAACTTGTCTCTTTCTATCCCCCTGATTTTATCTCCTACCATACCTAGTTCCAGCCACATGAAACTATCTATAAACCCCAAAGTTGCTACCCTTTCCTTCACCTTCATGCCTTTATTAATACAGCCTAGAACGTGCTTCCCTCCATTCTATGTCTAGATAATCCCTATTCTATTCTATTTCCAAGTCCTGCAACAGTACTCCAAATTGAATTTTAAAAAAGGAACAAACTAACAACTGAGGTAGTTAACAGATGTTACAATTCCAGTACAGTTTGCTCAAAACAGAGTGAAATTCCCTCTGTGCCTTTATTTCTGAGACACAGAATAGATTTTTCTTTAAAGTCATTTTGTTTTTTGCTTCCTATTGACTGATAATGATTGGTGAGGAGTTGGAGAGCTGGAATATATCATCAACCAAAATGTTATAAGAAGAGATCTAGACAGTGAGTAAAACTTGCTGAAAAAACACAAAGAGACTATAAAAGAGGAAGAGGTGCTCAGCTATTTTTGTAAATCATATTAGCCATTTCTCCTCCTCCTCCTCCGTTTCTCCCTCCCTCCTTCTTTCCCACACCCTCTGTCTCTCTGTCCCTATCTCTCTGTCTCAGTCTCTCTCTGTCTGTCTCTGTCTCTCTCTCACACACACATCTCTCTTAAGGTAAAAATCACTCTCTCTGTGCTCTTTTTAAATCCCTCAGATTTTATATTTTACTGCTCCAAGAGTCTGCCTCTCTGAGTTTCTTGCATAGACCAGTTATTTCCCTCTGTAAGGAAACTGTTTAGTTTGTCCTTGCCTGGTTTGGAAGGATCCAAGGGAGGCAGTTCTTGCAGCCCTGTCTCTCTTCCACTCCCCTCCTCCCCGAGTCCTGGCTGGAGCAGCTAGTCTGTCAATCTCAGGCGAGAGACAAGGTGGACAAAGGTCCACTTGTAAAGAACCTCCTTCCAGCACCTCCTCTCTTCTCCTTTTGCCCAAACTCACCCAGTGAATTGGAGCATTTAAGAAGATTCCTCTGCCAAGAAGACCAAAAGGAAAGAAGAAAAGGGGTATGTATTTTTTTTTCTTAAAAATAATTTTATGTCATTTGTGCTACTCCAAACGACTGCTATAGATTAGAGCAGAAATGTATTTATGTTTTGAGTTAGAAAAGAAAGACAGAGAGGCAGAGAGGGATTCTCTAAAGAGATGATGGATGTACTTTGAAAAAGATGATGTTTCCTAGGATAAAGAAAAAGAATCAGATTAAAAAAGAACAGAAAAATGTGCATTTCTTAACTGGGAAAGTCACAATCGTAGGTTTAAAAAGAGGCAGCTTCCTCACTGTTACTCCTTATTAATGCCCGCGTCAACTCTGAATCTGGTTCCATACAACAGGACCTTATTATTCCACCTCTCAGAACTAGATGATGATGATGAAGTATATAAGTTTTCTTAAATGCAGTAGCTTTATCTCTATATTACCTACTCTACATAAAGTTAACTGCAATGTCTAAGAAAGAAAATGTTTTTTGCTTTTAAAAATCCTGATTCCTAAAAAGGAACTGGTATAAATGTGTGATACAAAGAGGGAATTCATCTTTGGTGTCCCCACCATGGAACACAACACAGTGTCTGTACTGCTAAGATAAAGGGAACACTTTTTCCCTTTGGGGCTTATAAAAATTCCCTTTAAAATTCTTTAACTTAGTTACACAGGCTATGAAAAGCTCTCTCAAATGCTGGTATTTTTCTCCAGTTATGATGATTTATTGTGGCCAGGAAAATAATTAGAATGATGCAAGACTGAATGTTAATACCATCTTCTATATTTCTGAGAGGCCTGAAGGCAGATCACTTGAGGGAGGACGTGGACTTGGTTTTTCTACCAAGGAAGGTCACTTGGGTATTTGGGCTGATCGTGTCTGTTTTAATGATGTTTAAAAGGCTTATCCACTTTTTAATACACTTCTGTTCCTTTAAACATACACTTCGAGAAGTTTCTCTTCAGGATTCAGTCATTCTAACACAAACCTATTCTAACACGGTTAGAAGAACAGAGAATTGAAAAATAACAGTGATTTTCACCCTCCAAGAAAGATGAATGGGCAACATCACAGGCTGGACAGCAATTCTAATCTCTTTCAACTATAATTTTGATATTTGAAATGTCAAGAACTGGGCTGGAATTTTCATTTGCTTTTATAGCCTTTGCTTCTCTCTTGCTGAGTTATGAAAGAAATCTGAAAATGAACCGCCCTTTCTAATTCCTCAAGTCTATTTCATTCCTCTGCTCTTAATACCAGTTCCCAGAACTGACATCAGCTGCCTGTATGAGCATTGCACCATAAACGTCTGAACATTTAAACTACATAGCCATGTTAGTTTTAGCCATTAAATGGGATAATTTTTCTTTTTAAGTCTCTACTTAACTCCAACCATTCAAATCTTGCTTGTGCCAAATACTCGCACACAAGCAAAATTTGCAATTCCCTACCTATATGATAGTAGCAATAATCTATTGCTTAACTGGAAACGTCTTACTCATAATTCTGTATCCTCTACATTGATCTGTTAAAAATTGTGCCACTATTGGGATATGAATGGTATCAGACAACATTAGGTATAATGTGAATTACATAAAATTGAACCCAAAAAAACCAGTGGATAACTTTCTAAGGATCCTTACTTATTCCTTCAGATCTTCAGCTTTTAGCTTTGTTTTCTTTTGTAATTTGGATGTACTTCAGGAAGAATTTTAAGTGCCTGTGCTTCAACTGAAAGAGAAACAGAAATAGAGCAATTTCCTTCAATATTGGCCAGTCATTTCACTCTTCTTGGCACTTGAAAATATATGGCCTTGATGGATTGCCAAGGATTAAGATTGGTGTCTTTTAATGAAAAAACAAACCAAGGTATCACAGGAACATACTGTTCAGACATTTTTCCACTTACTAAATAATAGTTAAGTTATTTATCTGCACTTAGGTAAAGGAAGAAGAGAAGATTTCAGTTCAAACGTGTAATTTATAAAGTGTTAAAAAAAAATGACCAGTAAGTGCTTGCCAGGTGTGGAACTTTCCATCGTAGTATGTGACTGAGACTGTGACAGAAACACTATTTTATGCTCTGGCATGGACATAGAAGAGGTGCAGGGTATGGCAACATACCCACTTACTCTTCCAGCAATTTATTTGTTCATTCCCTCAGTGAATGTTTTTGAATACTTAACTGTGAGCCCAGTATTGAAGCAGGCATTCTGAGAGATGCGAAAGAAGCAGAAGTTACAGTCCTTGGCCTCATGGCTGGCATCTCTCCTTTCAGTCCTCTGAATATTGGCTTGCCTCAGGCCTCAGTTCTTTGCCTCTTCTCTTCTCAATCTACACTCACTACCTTGCCAGTCCCAGAGCTATAAATACAGTCAATAAATATCCTGATGATTCTCAAATTTGTATTTCCAGCCTTGAGCTCCAGACTCATATTCAACTACCTACTCAATGTCTTCATTTGGATGGCTAATAGGCATCTCAAACTTAACTTGTCCAAAAATGTGCTCCAGAATTTCTCCAAAATTGACTCCTTCCAATTCCTCTTCAGCTCAATAAATGTCAATACCATTCAGATAAAAAAACCTAAGAGCCACCCTTGATTCTTTCTCTCTTGCCTCATATCTTCCATCAGCTTTCACCAATAGCCTCTTTTCAACTACTTCCAATCTTGACTCACCACAACACATCTTCATAGAGCAGCCAAGGATTTTCTTGTAAGACATAAAGTAGGGTCGCCTGGTGGCATAGTGGTTGAGTTTGCGTGCTCTGCTTCTGTGGCCCGGGGTTCGCGGGTTCAGATCCCTGGTGCAGACCTATACATCACTCCTCAGGCCATACTGTGATGGCATCCCATGTGCAAAATGGAGGAAGATTGGCACAGATGTTAGCTCAGGGACAATCTTCTTCAAACAAGAAGATGATTGGCAATGGATGTTAGTTCAGGGCTAATCTTCCTCACCAAAAAAATAAATAAATAAAAACTCAACCATTAAAAAAAAAAAGACATAAATTAGATCACGTTGCTATCCTATCAAAATCTTCCAGTAGTTTCCCAATACACCCAATAAAATCTAAACTCCTTATCATGACCTAAAAGCCTTTTATGATATTTCTATATCTTACTTCCTGGTTCTACGTAAATTCACAGAATAACCAGTTCACAAAATGGCTGCATGGCTTACAGTGAATTTTCCACTTCCAACTGTAGTCATATTCTCTGTGGCCAACTGGCTTATGAAAAATGCTCACAATGACAAGACATTATTTAGTTAAATTCCTAGTTCTTGTAGTACAGAATATACATAAGTGCTATAGGAACATAGAGCAAGGGAATTGTTAGTGTGGAATGGCTGGATCAGGGAAGGATTCTTAGAGGAGATGAGTTTGAGGTTTGTCCTTAATGGGTGGTCAGAAATAATACAAAGGGTAAAGGTGAGAGGGAACAACAAGGCAAAGCACATATTTAGGATTGAAGACATGACTGGTCTGACTGCCTGGCTAGCTCAGCAATGGTAAATGATAGGTGTAGAGGGGAAGTAGAAGGAAGGCCTTAGGATTACCCTTAAGAAGTTCACATTCTTTTAGATAACACGACACCTCTGTAGGCTCTTACTCAGGATTTAAAAAAGTCTTTTCAGAGAATCACTCATTTAATTCTACAAATCAGGACCAAGTATTTTATTGGCCACTGGGTATGTGGTGGTGAAGAAAACAGACTATCCTCATGGAGCTTTCCATCTAATGGTAACAATAGGCATAAAATGAGTAAACTCACAAATATATAATTTAAATTGTGACAAATATTGCTAGGGCAAAGAAGAGGACTCTTTCAAAGAGTCAGGTTGAAACTACTTTAGATTAGATGGTCAGGGAAGGCCTTTGAAGAAATGACATTGAAACTGAGACCTGAAAGTTGAGAAGAAACCAGCCAAATAAAGAGGATTTCTGGCAGAGAGGGCAGCATAGAGAAAGACTCTAATGGAGGGAGAAAGATTTCTTTTTAATTATAAGGAAATATTCTATACATCTTTATTGCAATGCATTTTTTAATGGGTGATATGGGCTATTTTCTAACAAAATATAAATTATCAAAATTAACTCAAGAGGTAGAAACTATGTAATATTTGCGACATATTTATACTAAAAAATATTCATTATTTACCTGAAATTCAAATTTAACTACGTATCTCATGTTTATCTGGCAACCTTATACTTTAACAATATTAAATATCATTGTCTGAGCAACGATATCATGTATATAATCAGAGACACAAGGCGTGTAAAAGAGGCCAGGGAGTGGTGTACAGATTTTGAATTTATCTACTTTTATGTAGCAGAGTGTAGTGGAGACGCTCTAAAGAATAAATCTAGTTAATACCAGTCTTTGACATGAGTTTGTCAAACATGCCTCAGCCTTCCACTCACTCATTCTTTCCCCCTTTGCTCATTACTTTACAACCCTGTACTCCTTCTCAATCTCTGTCACTGGTCTATAATCTCTTTCTCTGACTTATCTTCCACCCAGTACATAAATGTTAAAGTTTCCCAGTGTTCTGTCACTGGCCAGCTAATTTCCCCTTCTTAGCAGCCTCACCTATGCCTCCCCAAAACAAACACACCTGAATGTTAACAACGGTTCTCTCTACATTGAAACTCTAGTTGAATCTTACTCTGTCTATGCTTTTCTGTATTTTACGTTTTTCGTTAAGTATTTTTACTTTTTTTTGAGAAAACGTATTTTTCTTAAAATAATATCCAGTCAGGTTTACTGCCCTAATTACAGCCATCTAATGGAAAGAACGCTTACACAGTTAATAGTCATAAAATGAGCTCAGGAACAAACTACACCCATATGCAGGAAATATAAGAAGGGCAATAAGAACCCAAGTTGGCTGAATGTATGACTTTATCCAACAGCCACAAACATTAGACAAAATTAAGCTAGATTACCAAAAATAAGAACAACATGATTGGACAGTAAAAAATTAGGAAGATCAAAGCTGTAAAAGATATGAAAAATG